ACCCTGTTAATCAGAATTTGAGTCACTCAGTCTAAGGTCGTTAAGGGTTACTGCGGCCATGGTTGCACTGACTCACCCATTTATCTTACCCTCTCGAATCGCACAGCCAGACGTGATTTGACATCGAATTCAGCCATCGATCAAGAATTAGTCATAAATCATTCAATCTATTTGAGTGTGAACATATATCTGTTCTTAACAATATCAAGATATTGCCATACAGATAAGAGAAGGGACAAAAACTTCACAGAAAGCTCATATATCTGGACGAGACTCCCAGTTCTCTAGAAGAATTCGAACATATACTTCTCAGCTACAAGAGACAGTTACTCATCGTATCTAGGATTGTAAGATTTGAGAGGTGAGATGAGGGTCTTCATATGCATTTGTCCTTGTTCATCGCTTTACTCAAACACTGCTGCCTCATGCTTGGCTTTATCACTTAGGAGATGAGAATACAAATATGCTGGGCTGTGATTACCACAGTCGTACTTAGAACCTACGTGGGAGTTTGGCCTTTAGAGCAGTATTTTACACAGACTCAAAGCAAATCCAGGTTTTTAAAAGTTACAACGGTGAGTTATGTAAGCCTTTAGATTTTGCAATTCAGAGGCGTTTTAAGACTAGTATTTACGACAATTCATATCCTAAGTACCTGTGAGTGTTATAACTAGTTGAAAATTGATCTTCATAGGTTAATTGCAATTACAGTCTTTCCAGATAAAGAAAATCAAGGATTTGACGGCTCATGTCGTATACTGATAGTAAAATAAAAAAGGCTCTCCTGTAAGAGAGAATTCGGTGCTGCTAAGCTCACGAAACGAGTGTTTTAAAGCTCAGTTGGTAGAAGAACCAGAAGTGAGTCAGGTGGTCTTGCGGATCCAATGATCGCGATACGTGTCAATGTCTTTCTTTACAGAAGAAGTTCTATGTAAGGGTTTGCAATTTCACCCGTGCTTTGCTGTTTCATTGATCGATATTTCTGTGTTGCTTATTAACGCAGACTTGAGGCTTGTTGGACACGTCCGTTGAAACTTCTATTGCTGACGAGTTCGACTGTGGATTACGTTGTGTAAGAAACAGAAAATGCTGGTCATACAATCACAATGGTAACAAAACTTGTGAACTGAAAGACCGAACATGGCATCTTAGTCCAGTGGCCCTAATACCAGCCAATGGATTCACCTATTATGGAAATTAAAGGGTAGGAATGAAGCTGTACCCGATGGCATCAGTAAGTTTTAACAATTCAGTTCCTCGTGTCATTCTGCAGGTTCTTCCGTTCCTAAGCATGTTACCGTGACTGGATTGCTTTTCAATTATTTCTGGTTTCTCCTTTCTCATCCTCCGTTTCTCGTTGCTCGCATCTTGTGACTTGTAATTATTTTTGCTGCTTCAATTTTTCGTTCTGAAGTTCTCGTCCATGGGTTTCGTTTTTCCCGACTTGCACTGCGATGAGAGTATATTAAGGCTTCGCGTTCTGACTCATTTCCAGTCTCTTGCCGGTTGCAAAATAAGTTTCCCATTTAAATTACTTCCCCGCTCTTTTCGTATCTCGTTTTACCACATTCTTATGTCCTATCACAGTTTCTCAAACTGAAGACTGACAAAATGTTTGTTCCTTCTCCTCACAACCTCCCTTTCCGTCCCAGTGACCAGACACAGTAGGGACCTTTAGCATCGCGTTTACTGCAAACGGCAAACGGCTGATAGCGGTTTGAGGTTTCCCGTTTGCCGTCGTCACCAAAATTGAATTTAGCATGGAGTTGATGTCTTTTGGCGGAAAAATCCTATCTTTTAAGAGCCTTTTTATCTTCTTCAAGGTATTTTGAGATAAGGCCATTCATCCTTTCTCTACAAGCTCGCCCTGAGAGCAAGACGGGTTTATTGCCTTCCGAAAAACTAGGGGAAAGTACTCTCTGAATTTCCTTATAATCAGCGGGACATTTTGGCCTTCGCTGGGCCACTTCGGTCACCAGCATCACCTCTTGGCAAGTTTTTGGCTATCTAAAAGGCATTTTCTAGAAATGGAAGAAGGCATACATTGATACAGAACTCCATAACTGCGCTTCTTTGCATGCACATGTTTAGGAACTTCGAGCCGCCATTTTGTTTTAAAGTTCTTTCGCCACTCGGCTTTCTTCCATTTAGATCATGCAAAATACATTGTTTTTTTAATCACAAAAAAACCACATTTGGATCCATAAATGGTAGAAAATCCTTACTAAAAGTGTCAAACGTAAGTTGGTTTCGTTAAGTGGCCAAAAAAACCTTCCCGTAAGTCACTTACGGCTGGAGGGCCTTCTTTCCGTCGAAACTGGAACAGCAAACGGCAAACGTGACGGCAAAGTGGTGGTCACGTGAGCTCCGCAGGTTCGCCGTTTGCCGTAAACGTGATGCTAAAGTTCCCTAGTAGTCTTTGAGGATAAACGCAACTTTTCCAAAAATTAATTATCATCCATTTCTTTCCAGGGAGACGAGGATTTCACCCATCAAAACCCGGGCGCTCTTGCATGGACATAAGACGCAGTGAGCATCCCTTGCTGAATGGAGAGTACTGGATAGACCCAGAGGGTAACAGAAACCCCATGAAAGTCTACTGTGATATGACAACTGACGGAAGGTAATAGAATATTAGATCTTTCATTTTTTTTGTGTTTTGTTTTCTTATATATATATATATATATATAACGAATATATATATATATATACTGAAATGAATGAAAAACAAAAGTCCTCTTTTTCTTTTTCTTTCTCTTTGCTTTTGCGCTACGCTTTTCACCGCTGTTGCGGCTCATCAGGCAGAGCAAAGTGTGTCTATTGACTTACTACGTCACAGATCTAATTGTAATTACAATGATTATTGTAATTCGAAGCACGCGCGAGCAATTAGCGTAATTTCAAATCATTAAGAACGGGTTTATATTTAGAAATAAAAAATCTTTCTTCGTTCTTTCTCATGACCTCAGAAGGGCCGAGAATCTTGTAAAACGGAAAGTTAGTGAACTGAGGGGTCAATCCCGCAGCGCATTCATCAATATGTTTGCTGACTCCCAGCATACGTATGTGCGGGTCTCTAATTTGTTGTTTGTGGACTGTAACTCTATTTCTCAAGACATCACCCGTTTCTCCTATATATATATGTCCACATCCTGCACATGTTATTACGTAAATCAAATTTGTTGATGTGCAGTTCATCGAATGTTTTATCCGAAATGTTTCATTCGTGGCGAAGAAGGTGAATTCTTTACCCTGTTTTAAATAGAGGCATGTTCCGCAACGTTTTGTTCCACAAATTTTAACATCCGGATCAGTGTCCTTTTGCTTAGAGAAATAGGAGTTTGTTAACATCCGTTTTAGATTTCTGGGTTGTCGCTGACTGTGAATTACTTTAGTCTTACTCAGAATGGATTTTAATGAGGAGTTTTCGTTGAACACTGGAAGTGTTTTCCTGACCAACTGAAATACTTGCGGATTGTTGGGATTGTAAGTTGTTATCAGACAAAGGAGGTTATTTTCGGTACTTTGTTCTCTCACATTTCTTAACTCTTCCGTTGTCTGGGTGAGGGCCTTGTTTACACTGTAATCAATGATTTCAGCTGGATATTGTTTCCTCAGCAGAATTTTTTTGAGGTCGTTTAGGCACCGTTTCCTTCTGTCCTGGCCCTCAATAATCATACATATCCTCCGAGCCAGGTTGTATGGTATGTTATTTTTAATGTGTCTTGGATGGCTGGATGTATATGGGAGGAATTGGAATGAATCCGTCGGTTTATATTAGAAGACAGATTCACTATCCTTAAATTGCAGAAACAGTCCTCACTTGTCATTTTCCTAGACATCTCCGACGTCATGTTTGATTCGGATTGCTGTACCGGCCGTGCCTTAAAAAAGGCCTCCGGTTGTAATTTGACCTACCGGTGTCCCTACCATTATTATTGCTGACACGATTACTATTACGAATCCTGCGGTTGTTTCCAGTGTTGCGGTTAGAGTTCCTTTCCTGTGGTCGACTTCTTTGTTGACGGCTATTTTGAGTTGAGTTTCGCTGTTGGCCCCTCTTTCTTCGTTGGTGCGGGACTCTGTTGCCACTATTTCGACTATTAGCGGTGTCTCTGTTCCTGTCATTTGTATTATTGAAGTATCGGTTGTTCTTTCTGGGGCGGCTTTTGTTTCGCCGTCTGTTTGGCGGTTTTCTCGCATTTCTCCGCGCTTTCTACGTCTCTGAGCTTGGTCTGTTGACGGGGTAGGTGCCGTGTCCTCCGAGGTGGCGATATTTTCTCCGTTGCACTCGAAATTCTCAAACCAGCTTTTCTTTACTTCCCACAGGTTTTGAGATTTTTCCTCTTGCTTTTTACAGTCATTCCTCCAAAGTTCTTGGAGTTGTTGACGAACGTAGCCAGAAGAGATTTTCTATACCTCATTCAGCATTTCTCTGTCCTTTTCTTCGAATTTTGTTTTGTTGCGTTCTGCAACTGCATGTTGAAGTTTGGCTTGTGCCTTCATATTTTCCAATGAAAGTGCCTCTTTGATTTTTTTGTGCTCTTCTGGCTCGTTGGGGAACGTTTTTGATTAGAATTTCTTCGGGATTTGTCCCTAGAAAACCAATCAACATAAATGACACTGGTGTTCTCGTTTTTTAGCATGTTCCAAAAGGTTTGCTTTCTTTGGTTGAAATTATTACGCCATATCTTGTTCATGCTCCTCCGGATTCTAAAGGCCTCATTCTTAATCCAGATTGTATTAGTGTCACTCAGCAGAGTAACATTTAGGAGGTCTATCATTTAGCTATTTAATTCGTCCACCTGTGAAGTGATCCGTCCCAAACTGTTTAAAACTGTATCTCTGGTTGAATTTCTTTCTTGGCGCCAGTTTTCCAGAACCTCCATGAAGAATGTGCGTGTTTCGCGTAAGTTTTCGTTGAGAAGAATTAGTTGCTCGCGGATTTCGTCATCGTTACGGCCTGATTTATTGAATCGCTTTACATCACGTTGAATCCCTTAAGGCAGATCTTACATAGTCATATTATCCTTAGCGAGCTATTTCCATAGTGACATAAGTTCTAACTAGACCGTATTTAGTTTCTTGTATACGAGTATAAAACTGCACATACCCTACATACCTATACCTCAAAATGACCCCTAAGAGTAAGATACGAAGCTATGTAAACGTCATACATCAGGCACGGGAAGAGAGCTTCTGATTGGTGTTTAAAACACGTCCCTTTATTCCAAATAAGGAACGTGTAGTGAATACCAAGTCTTTTTGGAAATCTAGGCATGGGCAACTTTTGACGTTTCTGCGAAAGCCTTTGAGGGAATTTCAAGAAAAGTTTGGCTTTCCTTACGTTTTCTACATAAATTTCGCAGCATCTACTGTTATTCACTGGAAAGAAATATGGACATGTGTGAACAGACACAAGAAACAAATTCCCAGTTCTAAAACAATTTTCAACTGATTGTGGTAGTACCAAAGCCAACGTCATGGAAAACAAACAGTCAGAACCAAGAAAATGCTCAAAAGTAAAACAATCTGAACTCGAAATGAATTCATGAAACTGGCCTAAAGGTGGGGAAAAACAGTAAAATGGTCGAGATTCATTTAATTACTCTCTCCTCCGAGTGATAATTGAGAGTTCACCACGTCTACGATAAATTGTAATGAAAAATCTTGCATTTTAACAGTGCTTCAACACTCGGTCGAAATATTTTCCATTTTTTTCTCTATTTATCTAACGTACGTAGATTTTCCAAAAATCTCCTGCCGTCGGGTTGGTGTCGCTTGTCGTGTCATCACAATACCAGTAGCTGTCTTCAAATAACCAGTAATACTTAGACGCAACATATGCACTGTGAGCATACAATCTGTTCTCTCCTCTCGAACCAGAGTGTCCCCACTTTCCCACTTTTATCTGTTTGTCAAATCCCCAGTCCTCACACACAATGGCCAACTTAGAGTTGTCACCTTTCATCCTTTGAAAAGACCCACATGAGTCGGGAAGCACATCTGTCTGGCCGCTGAAGTACTGGACCACAGCTCTACCGGAGGCGTTGGTAGCCGTAGTCACATGAAAGATACGTCCCTTTTGTTTACTGCAGTGGAATCTCATCTGAGTGAAAGAGAAGTGTTTTCTGAGTTCTTTCATGGCACTCGTTGTGATAAACATTTTGTTGTTGGCAAAGTTACTGATTCCGCGGTATGATGACTCAGCGGTCCAAATGGGGAGTGGAGTTGAGCCGTCCGTTACTAAGTTTGCAACAAGAAGCCAGCCTCCTAAAACAAAACGAGAATCAGACTTCTTAACTGACAAGCTAGCTTAGTTGTTTAACCCGATATGGAATGTAAGAAGCCATCCCCCTAAAAATATCCGTGGTTTAATTAAAATACAAAATGGGCACAATGAAAAATGATAACACATCTCAATTCTTCATGCTTTCTCAGAACCAGTTTATAAGCTAAGAAAAGGTCATCTTTGCTTTCAACATGATGTTTATTTGGCCCTGAAAAGGACATTTAACTTTAAACAGATGAAGACGCTCGTTTTTTAGCAACACGCGAAGAATTTTCACACATAGGAAGCATCTTTTATTGCCCAGGGTTGTTACTGGATATTCATTTCATGTGCTTTTATCAAAAGGTCAAGATGACAGGCCGCCATTGTATATTTATAAAAACAAAAACACAAAAAACGAAAAAAGGAAGATCTAATATTTTATTACCTCCGTCAGTTGTCATATCACAGTAGACTTTCATGGGGTTTCTGTTACCCTCTGGGTCTATCCAATACTCTCCATTCAGCAAGGGATGTTCACTTCTTAAGTCCATGCAAGAGCGTCCAGGATTTGATGGGTGAAATCCTCGTCCCTCTGGAAAGAAACGGATTAAAAATAATTTTTGGAAAAGTTGCGTTTATCTTCAAATGCAGTGTCTCGTTACTGGAACGGAAAGAAAAGTTATGAGGAGAAGAAACAAAGATTTTGTCAGCCGTATTTGGAAACTGTGAATCGAGAAAGGAATGAAAAGAAACAAGGTACGAAAAGACAGGAATTAAAATCAGAAACTCATTTCGACCATCAAGTTGCCGCACGAGAGTAACTGACTAGAAACGAGTCAGAACTTGAAGCCTCGCTACACTCTCTTCACAGTGCAAGTCGGAAAAAACGAAAACCCATTCACGACAACTGCAAAACGAGAGATTAAAGCAGCAAAAAAAAAATGATATACGAGTCGCAAGACGAGAGCATCGAGGATGATAAAGAAGAAACCAGAAATTATTAAACAACTATCGAGTGACTTGTTTACAAACAGAATAAGAAGAATTTTACAAACTAAGGAACGAAATGGTGAAAACTTAATGCTATCGGGTATAGCTTCGTTCCTACCCTTTTCATAATAGTTGAATCCATTGGCTGGTTTTAGGGCCACCGGGCTAAGAAGCCATGTTTGGTCGTTCAGTTCACAAGATTTGTCTCCGTTGTGATTGTATGACAAGCATTTCCAGTCTCTTACACATCGTAATCCACAGTCGAACTCGTCAACAATAGAAGTTTCAAAGACATGTCCCACAAGCTTAAAGTCTGGATTAAGGAGCAACACAGAAAATATCGATCAATGAACTGGGCGGCAAAGAACAGATGAAATCGCCCACCCTTACATAGAGCTCCTCCTCTAAAGAAAGAAATTGACATGCATGTATATGTAGCACGATCATTGGACAAAGACCCCCTGATCTCGCTGCTGGATCTTCTACCAACTGAGCTTAATTCGTAAGCAGCACCAACCTTTCCTTTATGACGGAGAGCTTTTGTCTCTCTCGTAATTAGTTTACTATATAATTCCTTTTTGACATAGCTGGCTTAGGGTGGCTTAAACTAACTGTATTAGTGTACTTAGACTCTTGAATATTATTATTATCATTCAGATAACCTGGGTAAAAAGATGTCAGGAGGTACTATGCTACCCACTAAAAGGTCGCATTGCACTGAGCAATAGTATCATGCTCTTCTGTTGCAAGGTGTATTTATCGTTTATCTTATTATCATCTGTAAGGAAAGACCTGTGCCGCCGTAACTCAGTTCGCAATAGCGCCAAGCTAGAATCTGGAAGGCATGAGCCGTCAAATCCTTGATATTGTCTTACTTTTTCTCTGCAAAGACTGCAATTGTAACCTATGAAGCTCAATTTTCAACTACTTATAACACCCACAGGTCTTTAGGATATGACTTATGTCATTAATAATAGTCTTGAAAGAGCACAGAGTTCTTAAATTTAAGGCTTACATATCTTACCGTTGTGGATTTCGAAGACCTGGTTTTGCTCTGATTCTGTGTAAGATGCTGTTCTGAAGGCCAAATTTTCCACGTAGGTCATAAGTAGTACTGAGGTAATCAAAGCCCAGCATATTTGTATTCTCATTTCCTAGGCGATAAAACCAAGCATCAGGCTCCAGTGTTTGACTAAAGTGGTGAACACGGACAAATGGTGGCCTCACTTAAACCTTACGCTCCTAGATACGATGTTTACCTCTTTTTTTTTTTTAGCTGCTAAATATATTAGTGAAGATAACTTGGGATCTTATCCAGATGTAGGTGTGTGGCAATATATAACTTGAATAATTTGTGATTATTCTTTTTTCATTGATGGCTGAATTTGAAGTTAATCACGTCTTGCCATGCGATTCCAGAGGGTAAGATAGAAAAACCTTGGACTGAGGGGCTTAAATTCTGATTAACAGGGTGACATCCTCATACGGAATGAAAGCTATTTGGCGAACAAAACCCACACTCTCAGTGTTAGTTCTTTTCTTTCATAATTTGTTTTCCAATTTCATTAATTGTAAACTCTGTAAGAAAAGTTCCTCACCAATATCCGGAACATTCTTTGAGTCTATGAATACGAACCAGCCGGAGGAAGTTTTTAAATAATGCTAAATTAAAACTGGCCGACGTTATAGCAAATATCTGAAGGAAACTTTAGTTCTAGGACAGATTAAATCTAGGGATCATAAGCAGGTACATATATTTGATTAAAATCTCTCAATAACAAGAAATTGTTTACGAGCCAACGGGAAACTCCTTCTTTGTGTTATTTTACACCTTTTCGAAAATATTTACATCTAGAGATGGAAATCCTGTCAATACTTACCAATGCAGAAACATGAGCTTTTTATGATTTCGCCTCCAGTGCCTTAGATAATTGCTCAGTCGAGAAATTCGACAGTTAACCGCAACGCAAGCTCAGTTCTATGAAATTTCTAGTACAGAGAAATTCATCGGTAAGAACTGGAAATAAACCATATACAACTGAAGTTCCACCAAAAGCCTATGTTTTTTTCCTGATGCTTCCTATGATTTTGTCGCAATCTTTTTGCAGTAATTTAATCAGATATGGAATCGAATAATTGATCCAATGGATTTCTTATCGATCCTCTGCTAACACTTTGAGGCAAATGGTGTTTCTCAGGGCTAGTAAAAAAAAATTTGGCTGACAATACATCGTTCAGTTTGTTTGACTAAGAAGCAATTCTCTTTTAGAGTTCTTAAATATTCTGAGCTCATCAGACAATAACAAATGTTTGAAAATGCTTACTTACCTTTTCTCGCACAGAAAGGTACTCTTTGAAAGTTATTTATCCACTCAGGAAAACAAAGCTTTCTGCTTTCCACGAGAAGCTTATGACAACTGCTAATGACGGAAAGGCTTTTTTACCTTTCCAACAAAGCTCTGAAGCCTGTAGCCAATCTATTTATTGATAGCAACTTAATTTATGACCTCACGTTGTTCAGTAGAAGTTTCAGCTAATTTTTGTGTTGATTCTACCAAAAACTAAATACTTAATTCTTTCATCGCCATCATTGCTAATAAGGCTGTGTAAAGGATGTTTGCGAAAACTCTCAATCACAATAATAACTTGCAAGGTATGTCATATGTCAAATTCAATTTGGTTCTCAAAATAATTAATAGTTAATTTCTTTTATTGCATGCAGAACACTGCGAATTTCCAAGCACTCAGACAGCTGTTCGGCAAATCCGTGATCAAAACAAGTTCATCAACTTTCCACTTTCATATAACTTAAATAACAGTGATAGGAAAAGTTCTTCCGCTTTACATGGATACCCGGAACTTGGGAGGAACGAGACATTTTTCCTAAGTTTGCTTTGTTGAGAAATAGTTTCTCCTTTTTTATTTTGGTATTGATGTGGTTAAAGTCAATAGACATTTAAAGTTTATTAGGTTATGATGGCCTAAATTCAGAATTCAACATTGAGTAACCCTCCGATTTAAAAAAAGCCAGTTGAAACTGGCTGACGCGACTGCGACAACGTTTATGAATTCCTCTCTTCACAAACGACAGGCTCAGATCCATTCATCCGAGAAATAGTCCAGAAATTGAACTGTTCAGCTTTGATCCGCAACCGTGCATGCTTCCACGGGCATCTTGCCTGCAAGTTGGCAAGTGGAGGTCGCCTCGATGGAAGTCCACTCTGTTCATAAGGTGGCTCTTTTGGAAAGATACGACTTGAGGATGGCTAAAGGAATGGATAGACGAGAAAATAATTCGGTGTGAATTTTAACGCACATAAATTTTCCAGAAATCACCAGGGGATAAAATGAAACTACTTCCACCGCCATCATCACATAACCATTGGCCAGACACGATCAGCCAATGATATTTATGAGGAATAAAAGCTGCGTGGTTGTACATCATTTTTTCTCCATGGAATTTTTTATGTCCCCATTTTCCAAAGAGTTGTGAATCGTCATTTCCCCATCTGTTACAGTTCAAAGCTAGTTGGGAGGTATCATCATTCATTCTTTCGAACGAGTTGCATGAGGGAGGAAGATTATCTGACTTTCCGCTGAAGTACTGGACGACAGCTTCACCAGAACTGTTAGCGGCTGTGATTACGTGGAATGTGCGTCCCTTTCGTTTGCTGCAGTGGAATCGCAATTGGGTGAACAACAAGTGTGTCCTGAGCTCTTTCATGGCACTCTTTGTGATACCCATTTCATTGTTGGCAAAGTTGCTAATTCCGCGATACGATGACTCAGCGGTCCAATCTTTTGATGGAAATGAGTTATTCATCCTAAAGTTGGCGACGAGAAGCCAGCCTCCTGAAATTAGAAACATTAGAGTTAAGTTTTGCAGTCACCTGTTTTTTATGCGTTTACAACATTCCTTTCACCTTTAAAGCAATAATACCAGAAAAATCGAAATCGGCGATCAGATTATCCAGCCTGTGAAATATTACATAAGCATGTGAAATATCACATAAGCAGTGCCTGAATCTTACACACCGATATGTGCTTTGTGAATTAAGAAATTGCAGTAATTTTCGTCTGGAAGAATTTTCATTCGGAATTATCGCTTAAACAGACTGCGACAGCCTCTTCTTTCTCCACCAAATAGTAGGTACAACATACACTACCAGAAGCAGCGTTAGTAAAGGACGTACGGAGTCCTTAGGGTAGATCCAATTATATTTCTTGAAAACATTTGCTTACTTCAGGAATTGAAGGAAAATAAAATGAGATCTTTATTTGTTGACTATGGTAACCCCCAAAGTCTGTGTAATTTGCAAGCTTGTACCTCGCTCGGTTGTCATGTCACAGAAAACCTTCATGGGGTTCCCGTTGTGCTCAGGGTCAACCCAGTACTCTCCGTCTCCTATAAAATCATCTTCAGAGTCCCGAATGTGTTTGCAGGAGTCGCCAGGCGAAGAAGAGTTGAACCCAAGAATCTCTAAGATCGCACGAATGAACAACAATTACACACATCATTTTATTTATCTTACAGAGCAACAATTTGTAGCTCATCATTTTTTACTTTTCTGCAAGAATTCCTCTTGACTAGTGTAGTTTCCAACTGCTAGAGTACATTGCCAGGTGGAAAAAAAAATTCACAATTACAGCCTCTACACTAGATGATTTTCTTTTACATCTGCAGACCCGCTTGGGTCACCCTCTGGAACCTAAAAACACGGTCAAAATTTTATATTTTTATCAATAGAGGAGACGGTAATCTGATTGTATCTAGTACATACTACTACTTAAAGCCTTGATTAACACAAATTAGCCATTCAAAGTTTTTAAAAATTTTGAAGCAACCCGAAATTGGATAGTGAAATTATCATTGGGTATTACTACAACGACCTCTCTCTAAAAGATCACCATGCAGTTATCACTTAAGTAGTTCTTCTTACTTGATTGGCCGGTGTTTCCTTTGTTACCCGGACTAATAACGCTTTTGCCTTGATTCTGACTTGAGTTCCATCTTCCATCGCTTTCACCAACAATGTTGGAGCATGCAATCTGGCAGGAGATGATATGTATTCTTGACAACTTATTACATCTATATCTAGTAAGTAGATCGATCTCTTTCAATTCTTCGATAACACTGAGCCTGGTGGCAAACATACCAGGTTTGTGTTTTCTACTGAAGAACCTGATACCAGTCATCGATTAATAAATAAATAATAGGACTGAAGTTAACGATGGGTCATACTACAAACAGACTCTTTCTATCTTTCTAAAATTTTGGAGCAGTGTACGTGCTTTTGGCTAACGCTCATCCTCGAGATTTATCTCTCGTCTCTAAAAAGTCTCCTCTCGGCCAGATGTTCATCTTTTAAGGACAAAATTTCACCCCCGACCATTTTTCTTCGCTATACCAGCCGTCAGAAGAGGCTTTTACTGAATAATTTGGTTCAACGAGTAAAGTATTTGAGATAAAAAAAAAGGACAACCTGTGTTGTTTCAAAGTAGGTCGCTCCCAGGTTTTCCATGAAGTCTTGTGGTTTAGACTTTTTTGTTTCGTTATTCAATTGGCAAATCTGTGTGCAGTTTAGGTTATGGCCATCAGCAGGATAGATGTTGTATGACTGACATAGGTCATCTCTTAAGCACTGCAATCCGCACTCCATCTCATCCATTTCGTAAACATCGATGACGTGACCAAGTAAGGAGTGACCTACCAGTTAACAGACCAAAGACGCTACTTAACAATAATATTATGAGCTCGAGATTTCTATCGCCATATAGTTAAAGAGAACAAAGCTCGAATCAGCTATTACGCATAGAAATCGAAAGCCAATAATCTAACTGTTTTACGATAAATCTGGCCGCTCCAAACTCAACAGCAAAACGTACAGATTGGTGTTTTTATCGTATTTTGTCTACAGCCTCACACTTTATTTGACACACATTCCATCAAGAAATAGATAACGAAATGCAAAGCCAAGATTGCAGCATTTGTCTTAGAACGCTAGAATTAATATGAATATTAGATTAAATGTGGGTTGAATTATATCGAAAGACAAAAAGCACAATCAAAACTCAAGTACTGTTTCCTTACTCGGAGCTGGTCAGCTCAGACGACCACCACAAACCATATAATATTATCCAAGCTTTAATAATTATTCCATATAAGAGAAATACATTTGTAATTCGAAATCAGAAAATACAAATTAAGTCTTGATCTCGTTGCAAAATTCAAGAAAACTTGATTGGAAACTTACTTCTGTGGCGGGTCGTAAAAACAGGTTTTTCACTTCAGTTTAGCAGATTCGGGTAAGCGAACAGATTATAAAAACCGATTTCTCTCTCTTACTGATTCTTCTGAAAACTGGTTTAATAATTATGATAAGCTAACACTTTTAAATCATTGTACGGAATTAATGTCAATCACGAGTTGTGTAATTAAAATATATCTGTCATCGAGGGCAACGCCTATTTACTAAATGAAACAAGTACTGTAGAGTAACTATGGTAATACATATCGTTTGAAAGCATCTTATTGACGCGTTTTTGTAATTCAAATTTTGCATCAGTTTCACAGATTATTTCGTTCTGACGGGGAAATAGTTTTGAGACAGGCATGCTCAGCAACAAAGGATAAAGCGTCTAATAGTGACGATGAGCTAATGATGTCGTATGAGTACCACTCATAGCATTTTGCCGGCTTGTTCTAATTTTTTAAATGTCTTTTTTAGTTGTAACTAGAAGTCACCGTTTTTAACCTGAAGGAGGCTGAATAACCGAGACATCTTTTCTATGATCCATTGTCTAGTAGCAAACGAGTACTGTTTTGTCATTTCCACTTTTGTTTCTTCTTACCTTTATACTTCTCAAAGAAGCTTGAAGTTGATTCTTCGCCAATTGTAAATGGAACGTTTACATTAGAAAACAAACCGTTCAGGAGCAAACACAGCACAGCTGGCGATATATTTCTGATTCGCAGCGCCATGTTTTGGTTCTTGCCTGCGTGAAGGAACAATAGAAAACAACAATTTTGGATTTTCTTCTTTCCTTTTGACGAAATTGTGAAATTCTTTACGTGTGATCTAGCGTTTCTAACTTTCCATGATTCACCCACATTTTTGTTAAACTGATTCTACTAATTTAGTCAGAGTTATGCGAAAGTGAATCAAATGTTTATTTCAAAAGTTTGCTTGTGGACCAGGAGTGTGGACACCACTTTCCCTACTTTCAATTATACTACAAAAAACCGGGCAACAAATAAGATGAAAGCGTTGTGCTCTTTAAAAATGTGTAGAGGAGTTACAAGCTCAGGGCACGAAACCAACACAATTATTTCCATTTACAAACAGAAAACCAAAAGTAAAAAATGAAATTAGTCTCCAATGATTCTGGATCTATTTTTCCACGCTATTCCCGCCAAGATACTATAGAATACTAAATACCTTGTGCTTGAGACTCAATTGCCTAACATGCTCAAAAACACATCGTACCAAGCATCTTTCAAATTTTTCAGAGTACTCAAGAGACTTGACCCACGACGTCTGATTTATCCAATTTGGAGTTGTTGATTTAAAGAGCCGAAACGTTTATATTACCTTTGTAACAGTGTCATGAAGGTGAAAAATTTCTCACAATTTTGACAACTGTCAATTAGCAATGATGAGACTTTAACCAAGAAGCTGCTGAGGCGTGGAAGTCGATCTCCAATTGAGTACGCAAAATGTCTCTCTAATAAAAAAAAAATCTCAGAAAAATAAAGGTTTAATCAAATTTTCATTTCCGAATCGGCAACTCGGACTGTTCTTCACTATCATTAATCTCCTCGTTATTGAATGTCCAAATACCCATCCGCTGTCAAGCAGGCGACTAATAACAGATTTGTCAATCAAGAGTCTCATTGCATTGGTGTGATAATGTTGCTATGGTAACGGTATATGACGTCGTAATAGAGCTTTCGGTGTCATTCCTTCTCATTTCCACGGCATAGCAATGAAACTCTTCAGTCATTTTTGGAAAGGAGAAAACGGGGTGGCAGCCATCTTGTCGGTCTTATTAATCAATGGATAATAGGTCGACCTTGTGCAGTCGATAGGTTTTAAAAAGTTTACTCTAAACTCGCATGCAGCCCGAGGGCTGAATTGTGTGTTTAGATCCAAAAACCAAAATATTTCAACGAAAGCGTATCGCATTGTTCACTGTTTATTGTGGATTATGGAATTAATCAGCTTAAATACAAATATTAAAAGTCCCGGAATCCTTAAACTATCACACATCGAAAGAATGTAATCTAACTGGTTAGATGTTCTGGTTACATACGACGCAAGCTACTATAAAATTGATGTAAACAGTAAGTTCGAATTCCTACTTCGAAATGAAGTGAGCCTCCAGTTATGTCTTGAGGAATGAATTGCGTCCATTGTGCGAATCAAGTATGAAAATCATCGAGGGGTTTTAAAGTGGTGATGTCTTTAAAGCAGGAGAAAGGGGGCTTGAGAAAATCATTTGTAAGAGTACGAGGTTGACATTTTTGGGGTCTGCTTTCTAATATGTCCAGGTTAAGCGTTTTCAATATTGATTCAAAACAAGATTAAAAAAAAAAAATTTAAAAAAGAAAGGACAATAGGGTAGTTAATATCACACTTTTAGCATAATCGTAGACTCTTTTTCACCCAAGTATTTGAGCTCTTTTACTGTGATGATACAAAAAGAGATGGACTGAGGTAATAATTTACATAAACTAGAACGTTTGTTACAATGTACACCAGTAAGCAAATGGGTGCTTGCTTTTCAAAACAAGTATGAAGTTGTGCCCTTTATTAGAAAGGAATTCAAAGGAGAACCTCTCCATATTTACCTCTTTTATCCAAGTTTATACCCAAACCAACGCATATTTGCAATTGAATATTATCTAGTGAATATGGCATGCGATACAAAAGTCTTAGATTTGGAACCATTGCATGACGGGAGGTCTACTGTACCAACGCATGTTTGCAATTGAATATTACCTGGTAAATATGGCATGCAATATAAAAGTCTTAAGATTTGGAATCATTTCATGACAAGAGGTCTACTGGTCATTCTAATTGGTAGGCACCGCTGACTCATAATAACAATTCTGGAGGTTTTCTTGTAGCAAAATTGTCATGGTTACAAGATCTGACTTGATGAAATGAGTTCTAATTCGGTTGTTTTAAGTCATGTTTCGAAAAATAGAAATATTTCGTAGAATCAAGAATGGCAGCTTTCTTGACCACCATCATGCGGATGACTTCACTTTCTGAAGTACGCCTACTATTAATTGGTGCCCAAAATCATGCAGGTCGAGGGCTGAATGGCATTTAAAGAGACTTAAAACTAAAAACTATTTACATATATCGTACATTGCACAAAAGTCCGAGATCTTGTTGGTCGACGGAGGTTCCTATGATGAACGATTTTATGGTTGTTGACCTTTTCTTACCCATGAGTTTTTGACCATTGCAAGATTGATAGACATGTACTTTTCGGCTGTAATCTACAACCGCGCAGGGAATGGCTCATTAGTCATGAGTAATAGATGCGATGTACTGATAGATCTCAGGAGAGACGATTGTTCCTACACGGCGGCCCTTACGGGAACAGGTAAATGCACTCAGAATTTCAACGTACATAAACTTTCCAAAAATCACCAGGTGATATCGCTATTGAATTAATTCCATCGACATCATCACACTGCCATTTACCCAAACCAGCTACCCATTGATGTTCCTGTGAAATGAAAGCTGCGTTATTGTACATTCTACGTTCTCCTTGGTTGCTAAAACGTCCCCACTTTCCGACGTATACGTAGTTTGAGCCGTCATCTCCCCATCTATCACACCGTGAAGCTAATCGGGAGTTATCTCCGTGCATTCTTTCAAACGAGTTGCATGAAGGGGGAAAAACGTCCGTCTGACCGCTGAAGTACTGGACTACAGCTTCACCAGAGCTGTTAGTAGCTGTGGTCACGTGGAACGTGTGTCCCAGTTGTTTGCTGCAGTGGAATCTTAGTTGAGTGAAAGACAAGTGGCTTCGGAGTTTCTTCATGGCACTCAGTTTGATACCCATTTTGTTGTTGGCGAAGTTACTGATACCACGGTATGATGTTTCGACGGTCCATTTCTCAGTCGGAGTAGATTTGAGTGTTACCAAGTTGGCGACAAGAAGCCAGCCTCCTGGAATGAACAACACTTACATTGATCCCTTGCAATGCCTGGGAAGGGAAAGACTACAAAAAGCTTCAGTTTATTTACCTCAGTCAGTTGTCATGTCACAGAAAACTTTAAAAGGGTTTTCATTCTTCTCAGGGTCGATCCAGTACTCCCCGTCTTCCAAGGAATCTCTCGACTTGCGGATGTGTTTGCAAGAGTCACCGGGTGACGAAGGGCTTGATCCAATCTTCTCTAAAGATCATAACAAGTAAACAAAAATGCAACTTAGTTTGATTTCTAATCTTTCTTAAACCAAAGGATGATTTTTTGCTTTTTCTACCATGTCCTATTCTCATGTAATATTTTTTATTGTTCATCTCTCAATTTTGTCTTTTGCAATTCGCGTCAATCTTTCCCATTCTCGACCATCATCGTTTCGTTATGATTTATTCTTGGGGTGTTAGAGCCTTACTGCCTTAATGAAATTACATTTTTGTTGCCCTGTTAAGGGTAATTTTGCAATTTGTAGAAAACTATTATCATTCCCTTCTGTAAGGATTCTTGTAAATCTCTGTTTTGCATCTTGTTATTTGGTAAGTCAGTGAATGCCTCAGCATCTGATATGAACCTCATCGAAAGAAACCTACTCATAATAATGGTGCTAGAATTTGGAAGGTCAAACAAATCGTTAAATTGTCATCAGATATGCTGTACCGAGTTCTTTCCTCTTGTACATTTTAACAGAATTCGACGCATGTCCCACTCACCTGATTGGCTGATGGTTTCATTAGATCTTGGATTGAGGCTGGCGGATTTATTTAGTTGTTGACTCAATCTCCCAATGTTTTTACCGATAAAATTTGAGTTAGTGACCTTTTGAGAAGAAAAATTGAAAACTACATAAACTAAGGCGGGTGCTCATAGACACTATTATCGTTGCTCCAAGCGAGATATATTTTACTCTTCTTCCTACTACCAATAAGCGAGAACACTCTGTACCTCAAAGTAGGTTACACCCTGATTTGCCAAAAAGTGTTTTGGTTTGGACCTTCGTGTTTCGTTGTTTAAGTGACACATTTGTGTGGAACCGAGGCTTTGAGCAGGAAAACAGTTGTATGATCGACATCTGTCATTTCTCAAACACTGCAATCCACAGTCCACATCTTTGCCTTTACAATCACTGATTGCGTGCCCTCGTAAGGAGAAACCTGCAGATTGTAGGACAAATGTAGAACAATTCATTTTGAATCATTTTGAAGATGAATATTTATGATCATGACAGGTGAAAACGGGAATGATGGAGACCATTGTGGATAATTGCGGATATAATGAGAAAAGGGAAATTAAGAGGGTTCGACTCCGCTGGAAATTTTTTAATTTCCTTTTCACCGGAGAAAAGAAGAGTTTTAAGTTACGGTAAGGTTGGTCAGGGTGAGGTCAGAAGTTGCCATATACTACTTAATTCCTGAATTTTGTTTAAAATATTGTTTTTCCTACCTTCATGTCTTTCAAAGACGCCTGAAGCTAATTCTGTGCAAAAAGCGAAAGGCACTTTTAAACTGCAAAACAAACTGATCTGAAGTAAACAGAGCATAGCTGTCAGGATATTTTTCATCGGTCGTGCCATAGTGCCCTCGAAATACCTCAAAAGACCTGTGATGCCTGCTCTGCTGTGTTAAAAGAAAAGAAATAATCGCATCGAATCGATGAAAGATATTATGATGTTGCCAACAGCCAGGTGCTTCTATACTCTGCAGACTCGAAAATGACCCAAAAGTAGATTTTAATCGATGTTGGTCAGAAAAATACAATATATTGTTTATTAAATGGTAGAACGATGCAAAATATTGATGGTGTGGAGATATAAGGAAAATTATGTTTACTTTTTGTGAGTAACTAACTGGTGACTTGGATTCAGCATACAAGCAATGATAAACAAGACGAAAGTCATGGCGTCTATATAAATTACTCGTAACAGCTGAAAAAATAGGTGTTTACCCAAAACTTTAGATTTCCAAACAGTTGCCTATTCTCGCCAAGACGCATTGAGTATAACATCAAGTTACCTGGTGCCGTTTCAACTAAATTATTTAATCCTGACTGAAGCTGTGACAACACTTCTTATCAGTTGAGTCGATTGATTTGTTCATGGCTTACTCAAGAGCACTCGCTCTATCTTGCACTGAGCTATATGAGTTGCCGTTGTGACAGCGTGGTTCAGCAGAGAAAATCTTTAACTCTGAAAACTATTGACAGTTTTAATCAATGTACTATTAAATAGAACAATTAAATGCGACATAATTACTTCGATGAAGTCTATGTCCTACTAAGTAAGAATAACATATGATATACTTCAAAACAAATCAGACACATAAAGCAGATAAAATCCACCAGCTCTGGAAGCACTTCCCCCTGTCATGATTTCCAAACAAACAGCAGTTGTCAGGCAAGCGATTGATTTGACACAAAGGAAATTTACCACAAATTTCATCTTCTTACGGTCTCATTAAGCTCGTACTCCTCTTTGTAATCGTCTCTTCTTTTAAAAATGTACTCTGAAGTACAACAAATTAAGATTGTGAAGGCTCAAGAGAAAAAAGCTGGTGTAAATGAGAGACCCCTTTGAGCCCTCTTAATAATCTTACATAAAGCAATCCACTAAGTAGATAAAATCATCCAAAATGCCATGCAAGCTCAAATTTCACCCCTTCGAGTCGAGTCCAGGGGCAAAAAAATGCTATGGTAACACGATAAGACTTCTTTTCATACTTTCGTTTGTAATTCTCTTCAGTTTCACGGCATTACTCAGTGTCATTTTAGGAAAATAATAATTAGCCTTGTTGAGCTAATACATATAGATGAATAATTTATTTAAACTAAAAAGCAGCCCGAGGCCGGAATTGTGTATTCAAGACCAAACTTAACTAATGAAACAAGGGTATCTAAAAGATAGTAATACTGCGGCACAATCGGTTGATAGTGACATAGTTGATAGTGACATAGTTGATAGTGACATCGGTTGATAGTCATCGGTTGATAGTGACATCGGTTGATAGTGACATCGGTTGATAGTGACATAGTTTACGCAGTGATTCATCCTGGGGCGGATCCAGGGGAGGTTCGGGTGGTCCGGTCGAACCCCCTAAATTTTCCCTCAAAACGCTGGAAATTATGTTTCTAAAGACCTAATTTTCAAAATCTCCCGGGAAAGCATGCCTTCGGAGAATTCTCCGAACCCCCCTTGACTAAATCCTGGATCCGCGCCTGTCATCTACGTGCGCGTTCCAAGAGAGTCAAGTTGAGAAACATATATCTGAAGTCATTTTCTGCGGGAGAGAAACCATACTCTAAAAACAAAGAAAATAGCGCGCCCACAGAAGGAAAATATTGCCTTTTCGGTAATACAATCTCACCTGGCCTTGCCAAACCTCCAGAACATACAGATGGGGGAAATCAGACATCTTAAAACTCACTCTTTTTATTACATCGCAAAGGAAAGCCATTGAGAGATATCCTAATAGGAGCTTGACTTTAAGGGCAGAAGATTTAAAAGCGCTAGCGAATGGCAGGATTCGCACAGGCCCATCAACACCAACGGTCGACTGCCTTTTGCTTTCCGGCTTACTGACGTGTCAACCTTCGCAAGGTAGAGTTATTCATTGATCATGATCAAGTGACTCCTTTCATTGCTCTAATTCAATTGTCCTTCATTCATTGATCAAGATAGTAGATCTACCATACCATACTCGCGTTGGTCAATTTTCCTTTATACGATTGAGTACATATAGGAAATGTCCTTACAGTGGTAACGCTATGTAACGCAATAAACTAAATACAAAAAACGTGGCGCCGTGCACTCTGGTTAGATGCAATGCATTCTGGTAAAAAGTGATGAATTCGAGAATTCGCGCGTCCTTTATTCTTCGTAAATCCTGATTATGTTGCTGCTCGCCCGCTACGCTCGCTGCGCAGCAATGAAGGATTTTCATCAAATGCAATGATTGTACCCGTTTTATTTTATTGCGGAGGTACAAAATCAATCATAATTTGCAAAAACATTTCAAGTCCTAGGATCGTTAAAAATATTACTGCAGTGGAAGTACCGGGTTATAGGCTTGTTATTACATGCATAGGACATTAAAAGTGTCTTGGGAACGGTCGGTCCCTACCTCGATATAATGAGCCGCAAAACTGTTTTCATTATACGGATCACGTATGCTATAAAATTAAAAAGACCTTTCATTAAGATATTTCGAGTGTTTTTGGTGTAAAAGAAAGTTTTCTAAAATTGACGACATTGAAACCATCATAAAATCTCTAGGCATGTAACTTTGATATCAAAGACTTGGATAATATGCCACTTAAGAAAGAATCTTACTATATTCTTATGAACTAAATATCCTTTACGAACATCACATTGGGCATGCAATTCTCTTCAGCAATACGGAAATCTGTAAAGAAGGAAAATCCTTTGCCTGGAATAAATTATTAACGAAAAGAGTCGAGACGAATTAGCGATACTCTAGATGAAAATGAGCAACGTTTTGCCATTCTTTGTCTTTCAGTCTACGTTCTTGTTGTAGAGAACCACTTTCCTACACATCATGATTATCCAGTTATTTATGCTATTCAAAGTCACCTCCTAAATAAAGCAAAGTCAAATAGATCTAACTAATTGTGGAGACGTAGAGTCCTTCCATCTCAGTCAGTGAAAAGATAACAATAAACCCCGAGGCAAAGTCTAAAGACTTTTACAGATTCATGGTAAATCAGAATATTAATATGATCAGCATGCAGGCCCAAGGAGATGAAACGAAGTTACATCTAAGGTCAAACAGACTGGAGAAAAGTCTTAAAATCTGTTGGAAAAATATGTAAGGAAACAGACCGAAGAGAGCTTCAATTTGAATTGATTCGTCGAGTCGGTTGTCTCAAAGAATCGAAAGAGCTTCTAATTTCGACATAAGAGAAGACAGACAAAATTCGGAGATCCTATTAGTCAATGGGGGTTCTTATGAATGATTTTGATGGGTTTTTTACTTATTTTAACCATGAAGAAGAATTTGGACCGTTGCAAAATCGACGTACTGTCTGGCTGTGATGCACAACCGCGCGAGGTATGGCTCTAGAATCATGAGTAACAGTTCAGTACGTGATGTACAGGCCTCCTTTAATCCTGTTCACCAGGTGGTCCCTGTGGAAACAGGTAAATGCACTCGGAATTTCAACGCACATAAACTTTCCAAAAATCACCGGATGATATCGCTGTTAAATTACTTCCATTATCATCGCAACACAATTTATTCTTAACCATTACCCAGTTATGTTCATTAGCAATAAAAGCTGCGTTATTGTACATTTTAAGTGCCTTTTGGAGTTTAAAATGTCCCCACTTTCCGACATAGTTTGAACCGTCATTTCCCCATCTATCACACTGTAAAGCTAATCGGGAGTTATCTCCATTCATTCTTTCAAACGAGTTGCATGAAGGAGGAAGAACATCTGTCTGACCGCTGAAGTACTGGACTACAGCTTCACCAGAGCTGTTAGTTGCTGTGGTCACGTGGAACGTGCGTCCCAGTTGTTTGCTGCAGTGGAATCTCAGCTGAGTGAAAGACAAGTGGCTTCTGAGTTCCTTCATGGCGCTCAGTGTGATACCCATTTTGTTGTTGGCAAAGTTACTGATCCAACGGAACGATGTCTGGGCGGTCCATTTCTCAGTCGGAGTAGAGTTGATTGTCACCAAGTTAGCGACAAGAAGCCAGCCTCCTGGAATGAACAACACTTAAATTGATCCCTCGCAATTTAAGCGGCTTGAACAATTTGACCCCGAGTACTAACTGAGCCCGGGAAGGGAAAGACTGCGAAAGTTTGCAAGGATTACCAGATAATGTCTAAGTTCAAAGTTTACCTCCATCAGTCGTCATGTCACAGAAAACTTTCAAAGGGTTTCCATTCTTCTCAGGGTCGATCCAATACTCCCCGTCTTCTAAAGAATCTCTGGACTCCCGTATGTGTTTGCAGGAGTCACCAGGTGATGAAGAGTTTGATCCAATCTTCTCTAAAGATCGTAAAAACAAACAAACATGCAAAGTTAGTTTGAATTTAAATCTTTCTGAAATAAAAGGATTATTTTCTGTCTATTTTACCATGTCCTATTATTGAGTAATATTTTTTGTTGTTCACCTTTCAATTTTGTCATTTGCATCCCGCATCAATCTTTCTCATCTTCGACCACCATCGTTTTGTTATGATTTACTCTTAAGGCGTTAAAGCTTTTCTATCTTACTGAACTTATATTTTTGGTGCCTTGACAAGAGTAAATTTGCAATTGTAGAAAACAGGATTCCTGTAAATCCCTGTTTTACATGTCGTGATTTAGCACATCATTGAAAGCCACAGAAAGTGAACCTCATCGAAACAAATCAACGAATAGTAATTGTGCTAGCATTTGGGAAGAGCATCAAACAAATCGTCACAAACTGTCATCAGAAATACTGCGCTGAGGTCTATCTTCTTGTACATTTTGGGATAAATTATTAGATCAATGACAGTATTCGACACAAGCCCCACTCACCTGATTGGTTGATGGCTTCATTAGATCCCGGATTGTGGCTGATGGATTTATTCAGTTGTCGACTCCATCTCCCAAGGTTTTCACAAACAAAATTTGAGTTAATGACCTGGTGAGAAGAAATTGAAAACTACGTAAATTAAAGCGGGCGCTCACAGACAATGTCATCGCTCTTGGCAGGCGAGGTATAATTTATTGTTCTCGTTACTATTTCAACTTCAGAACACTCTGGTTTGGTAGCTCACTGGGAAAAGAAAGATCGCAAACAAGACGAGCAGGCTTACAGAAATTAGCAGAACAGTGGCTCGATATCCGGTTTGCGTAAAGGTTTTCCAATTCAACTGAATGGGTTGAATATCAGCTGCTATTGTACAATTTGTGAAGACACTATTTTGCCGAAACTGAGAATAGTATGTAAACTCACTTTTTATTTATGTTCAAAGCCTTCTGACTTCTCATCAGCCGTAGTGGAGAACTTACACCTGTTTAGTCTGCATTTAAACATATCTTATGAGCGGTCTCCGTTTGCAGAAAGAGCCCTTTTTTTCTGATTTGTCTTTAACCCTCATTTGTTTTATAGATTGCTGGACTTCGTAAAGTATAATAAAAACAAGCCAAAATAACCAAAGATTATTGAAGCTTTGCGATTGAGTTTTATCTCTGATGATAAATCTTAGTTGTATTCATCTTGACGGCAGGGTTTCTCATTGGATGCTTTGTGAACTGTTCAGATCATGCATCGCGGTCTCTCTATGTCTGGTATCTGAAAAACAGCAAGAGCTAACAAACCTGCTGTACCTCAAAGTAGATTACACCCTGATTTTCCAAATAGTCTTTTGGTTTGGACCTTCGTGTTTCGTTATTTAAGTAGCACATTTAGGTGGAACTGAAGCTCTGTGCAGGATAACAGTTATAAGATCGACATCTGTCATTTCTCAAACACCACGATCCACACTCCACATCTTTGCCTTTACAAACACTGATCACGTGCCCTTGCAAGGAGTAACCTGTAGATTGTAGAACAGATGTAAAACTTTTCATTTTGAATCTGAAGATGAATATTTATGATCGCAACATGTAGAAACGTAAATGATGGAGACTATAGGGTTCCACCCATTTTCCTTTTTGCCGTAGAGAAGCAGAGTTTCAAGTTAAGTTTAGGTTAGTCAAGATGAGGTTAGAGGTTACCAAATACTACTTGTTTCACGAACTTTGTTCGGAATATTCTTTTTCCCTAGCCTACCTTCATATCTTTCAAAGACGCCTGAAGCCCATTTTGTGCAGAATGCGAAAGGTAAATTTAAACTGCAAAACAAACTGATCTGAAGCAAACACAGTATAGCTGTCAGGATATTTTTGATTTGTCGTGCCATAGTGCTTTCAAAAGATTGCAGAGAACCCGTGCTGTCGACAGTGATAGAAGAGGAAAGGGGGTGAATTCCTTTCCTTCTGATAAACGATACTGTGATATTTCTAACTTGCAAGTTTCTTTTAAGTATCTATGCTCTGCTGCCTTAAAGGATTGAAATGCAATTGATTCTAGTAGGAGAAATAAAGCTACTGTTTTTAAATGGTAGAACGAAATGAAATATTAATGGCGTCGGAAAGTAAATAATCATAAGGTGAAAACATTTTTGCCTTTTGTGAACAGATATTATTTAACTCGTGCAAGATATGTTACAAAATGAAGAAAAGCATAACGTCAAACAAAATAATTTGTGCATAAATTGGGGTGCTCTCCAAAATTCAGTGTAGATTTCCAACAGTTTCTGAATCCAACATACTCAAAATTGTTGCCGCCGTAACAAGACTGACTTCTTCCAGTAACTAAATATTGACGAACTTTCTTCGCAGCACTTGCTTTAATTTATCCCGGCCCGCTCCGAGCTAGGTGGGTTGTCTATGCACCGAAACGCGATAATGTAAATGTAACTTTAAATTTATTAATTACAGTGTGGTTCGGCAAAGAAACTCTTTAGCTCTGATTACTATCGACAGCCGGGGCGTCAAGTTATCAATGAACTACTAAAAAGAACTAATACGATATAATTACTTTGATGAAGCCGATGTCTTACTGAGTAGAAATAAATCAAACTTCAAAACAAACCACCTATAACAAACGAAATTCGGCAGCTCTAAAAACTCTTCCCTCTGACACGTTGTTCAAATAAACAGCACTGATTTGTCCGGCAAGCGATTAATTTGACAGATGAGATCCACAGAAACTTGCAACCTCGTTCGCAGTGTGATTTTTTAAAAAAATGTCTCCTGGCAACCTTGCTTTTGTATAGGATCCTACTTTTTATTTTATTTTTTTTTTTTTCGACGAGTTAAAGACTTTACCATGTGCTGGTTACAAGCGATGCAATTTGAGTGTAGCTGATTAATTGGACAGAAACCTGTTGAAAACAAGATATAATGACTTTTTAGAAGCCTCTGCGCGCTATAAACGTTTTTCTTCAGTTGCAGCACAGGGGACTGAAACTTTGCGACAAGAGGAGTCTTTTGGTTTGTTGATTAAATTGTAATTAAAGAAAGAACTGAGAATTTCGACACTGTGGATTGAAGCCTTTTTGTCAAACCGTTCCCAATCAGTCTCAGTGAATGGCATCAAATCCTCCTCCAAGCCAGTGCTCTCGGGGGTTCCACAAGGCTCGATTTTTGGTCCTCAAGGTCCTATTTTTTACTATACATAAACTACATCTCTTCATCTGTCAAGTCACATCTACGCCTCTTTGCAGATGATTGCATCCTCTACAGAGAAATCAGTAGTCGCCAGGATTGTTGGTCTTTGCAGGATGATCTTGATCAATTACTGCTATGGTCAACCATTTTTAATATCAAGAAGTGTTATCGACTCGGTATAATTACTTGCAAGAAAATTCCATTTACGTTCCAATATTCTTTAGGTGGCTAGCCCATTTCTAGAGTTTCCTCAGCGAAGTACCTCGGAATCACAGTGACAGATAATCTCTGCTGGAACGAGCATGTCAACGACATCTGCAGCAAGGCAAATTCTACGCTTGGGCTTCTGCGTCGCATCCTAAGTGGATGTGATAACGAAGTCAAAGACTCGAATATCATGGCCTGTTGTGCCTGGAATCCTTTCACCAAACAGAGCATCATGACCCAAATTGAGATGCTTCAACGCCGAGCAGCAAGATTAATATTTAACGACTATTCAAGATTTAGCCATGTTACTCCAATGATTAAACACCTTGGTTGGGACTCCCTTGAAAATCGCCGACTCCTTCTTCAATCTCGAGTATGTTTTTCAAGATCTTAATGGGTCATGTGGGTATTATATTCCCTCCCGAAATTAAAGAAATAACAAGAGCTACCAGATTACAGAACAGTCGTCCTTTCCGCCAAATCAGCGTATCAACTAATGTGTACAAGTTTTCTTTTTACCCAAGGACAATAGTATTATGGAACAATCTACCTATCAGTAACGACGTTAACTTCAATGAGTTTAAGGAACTTGCTCTTGCAGCCATCAAGTCATGTAATTGACATCTATCAATTGTTTTCATCTTTTAGTTTAGGAATAGTACATTATGTTATAGCTATATTTATTTATTACATGACTCGGGCAGTCAGAGGGCCAATAACTAAAATCAACCAAATCAAAATGCTCTATTGCCGGTCAATATTCTCTCAGTATTGGACCGGGCA